TAATAAGAAAGTATAATTAAAAATTAACTATAATAAGAATAATAATAAAATCTATCTATCCTTATATTCTTCTTACTTTAGTTCTACTATTCTTTACTTCTCTACTATCTCTAGAATAGTTATAATATTAGGGATAGTTACTATTCTAAGGCGTCCTGCTATCCCTTAGATAGTTGCTCTTGGCGGGATGGCTTATTACGTGACCTGGCCCCGCGATGATTATTACCTTCTGACGTGGACGTCCATAGGCCTTCAGCCATCTCGTCATTTGTCAAGGAGAGAATCCTTCTTGTTACTTGTAACATAGTACTTTTTTCTATGTCACCCCTCTGTATAACATTGAGTACTCCATGACCGCGACACTGGTATGACATAAGAGAAGATGCAAGACTGTACATGCGCATTTTATGTCCTGCGGACGCTGGCCCACGTCGGAGAGCTCACCACGTCGTCTCAAGTCCCTCTCGAAACAGCGCTCCAGGCGACGTCGACAGCAGAGCGCCCCAGCCTTGCCGTACTGAGCTGTGAGCGTTGTCGTCAACAGCGGCTGCCGCTTACTGCTGTCACGATACTATGTGCTCATCTGGTTGATTGGCTGTGTCGGCTGTGGAATCTCATGGACAACGATGCCAGCGAGGCGTCGACAGATGCCAGCAGCACCACAACGACTACCACGACTACCACGACCACAACGACTACCACGACTACCACGACCACAAACAATTCAAACACCAGGAGCAACATCAGCAATCTGAGCAACACCATTAACATCAACAACCACTCTGAGAGCCAGCTCTCACTTCAGCCGTGGAAGTTTTCTCTTGGCAACTACGATCTTGCTGCCGACGAAGCCGATGCTCTCAGCAATGAACTCATAACTCTACGCCTCATCAATTTCTCTGCTGTCCTGGGCTCTCTAGAGGCTGCCCTCGTCACATCTGGACTTACACCATCCATGTCTTCGTCACCACCTGAGCGATTCACCAGCAACCCAACCGCCACTGACCTTGCGGCCATTGCCCCAACTTGTCTCGACATTGTGCGTGCCAATCTCCGTCTTGTGCGCATATCCATACGCCGCCTCAAAGAGAAGTCACTGCTAAACAACAGCGGATCAAGTACGATACTTTAATCGCAGATAGCGACGTGCAACGGATGAATGAGTCTGGGTCGTGCGAGTTTAAGGAAGTTCATATAAGACTTTGTATTATAGTCTGTTACGCATTCATCAAAAGGGTATAATAACACGAATAAACCTCACAAACCTCAGGTCCCATATTAAAAACTGGTCATTGAATTCGGCATTGTGATTTGTTTGTAAATTACCCTGTCCATGTTTCTGATCTTGGTATCAAGTGCCCAAGACATCCAGGGGCAGATCTATATATATACAGCATCCAAACACATCAAGAATCTTCAACACCATAGAACTCTCACTGTGCAAGATAGCCCCTATTTCTGATTAATACTTGCGCTTTCTCTCACATAAGATTATACGACACCACATACCCATCTAGCACCAATGACTGAGCATACATGTAGCTGCTCATGGGGCTGGCCAGAAACACAATGGCATCGGCAACCTCCTCGGGCTCCCCAAGCCGATTTGCAGGCACACGCTCACGGACCAGGTTACTGACGAGGGTCTTGACGTGCTCTGAAGACTCAACCAGAGGGGACGCAATGTAGCCTGGGCAGAGGGCGTTGATGCGTATCTGCTGCGGCGCATATAGCACGCCCTCTGAGCGCGTGAGACCTAGGATTGCATGCCGGCCGGCGACGTAAGCACCGGCGGCAATGTGTGTCGGTGAGGCTGCAAGTGCATGTACCGAGCAGATATGGACAATGCTACCACGCCCGTAGCGCCCATCGCGCAACTCCTGCCGCAGCATCTGTCGCAATTCGGCCCGGTGCCATAGCCACACACCTGTCACATTCTCTTTCAGGTGAGCATCGAAAGCTGCAGGTGATGCGTCAGGACTGCCCCCCATAGGTCCACCAAAGCCAGCATTGTTGATGGCAAAGTCGATACGGCCGAAGCGAGCCGCCGCCTGAGCGACGGCAGCCTCGACCGTCTCTTCCGTGCTGCAGTCAGTCGAGACGTTCAGGACATCCGCCACATTGTACTTCGTGGCCAACACCTGCGTTGTCTCTTGTAGCCCAGCTGCGTTGGTGTCAAACAACGCAAATTGGCGCACGCCGTGCTTGGCCAGCGAGTATGCGGCACTCTGGCCAAAGCCTGCGAAGCCGCGTCAGTTGGTCTGCAACTCGTCAACTGCAATAGTAGAGAAAAGATCTGTTACCTGAGCCCGCCATTGTAATCAGAGCAACTCCCGAAAGCATCTTGGTCGGCTGAGTTTAGTGGATGAATCCTCCCCTCTGGATCCCCATTGACTTTTATCTTGGTTTTGCAACCCTAAGATCGGTGCATTTTGAACCAGTCTCTTAGAAAAAAGCACCGAGATCGTGCTCGTGCTGCGCGGCAAAATTCGCAATTACGGCGTGTGGTTATTTTCAGATAAAGAGTCTAGAACTAAATAAGATACAACGTAGAACTGTTATTGATAAAAGGTTGCATAGAGCAACTACCTCTACTTCCTTACGAATTACTAGATTCAAACGTGGTCGCTTTGGATGTATTTTTCAAAACTCCGAAAATTACTCTTATCATAAGAAGAAAAAGATCACAAGCCCTTATTTGATGAGTTCTTCAGTGTTATGATAAAGGAACTTTTTACTTTCCGAAATCTACTGTACTATGTAAGAAGAGTGTAGAGGATGTGATACTTATGAGTCCTTCTCTAGCGACTACAAATACCTTTACCTTCACCTTCGTTACAGCATACAATCGTTAATTTAAAGAATAAGATATAGTAGAGGAGATATGATAAACCCAACGTTCTGGAATTGCATCGTTATCTATTGTTTGTAGAGTCCTCTTCTTATACTCGCTAGCCTAGATCGTACCTTCTGCCCAAGGGTTATTAGTAACCTTATGTACCTGCACAATATATAAAGCTAACCTAAAAACTCTTTAATAGCCTCCAAACTTTGCCTAAGGTTGGAAACCTCGTCTCTTGAGATACCTAAATCTTCCATGGTAATGAAGACACCCTGTTTCTTCGCTAGCGCCCACCAATCGGGCACTTCTATGCCAAACCTAACTCCCGTAAGAGCCTCCTCTCCCGGCAAACCATACAAATCACTGATAACATGCTCTTTTACCTCAACATATATACCTTGATTTCCGGAAACAGCAGACCATGTTTCGAGCACCTCTCCGAGACTAAGCACCTCAGTACAAACAGCGGCGTACTTGCCATGTGATACCTTGGGGTTGGCCAAAATTTGCCTTGCCCAGATACCTGGCTCCTTGCTCATGTCACCAGCCATGGGATAAAGAGTCGAAGGAGCTGCTGGAATCATCCAGAGATATTTTCCTGGAGCAGATTTCTACAGACAGTTTCGTTAGCCAGGTGGATACCGTGTTCTCGAGGGTTGGGAGGACTTACTACTGGCACTGGCTTCAACATTGAGAAGTCGGCAAAGTTTGTTGGATAGAAACCAAACATGAGGAAGGTTGTCTTAGCAGCCAGTTCTGGCAAGGTCTCCTTGATGTAATCGTCGACCTGAGCCTTGTAGTCAAAATGGGGAACGGGGATTCTTCCCTCGGTAAGTTTTTCCCCGTTTGGCAATGTGCTCCAGATATAATGCTCTAATGTCTTCACTTGAGACGCCAGCCTTGCAAGCATGCAACCCTGGGCATATTCGATATCACCAGCTTCGCTCAGACTAGCGCCCCTGAAGAGGGCATCCCACCAGTTGGTCACCGCAAAAATGGCTTGCGCGCCCTAGTTACATATTAGACGTTATTCCAAAGAAGAGAAGATGGAGTGAATGACTCACATCGAAGGCTTTACTCATAGATTCTTCATCATTATAGTCACCGTAGACAATATCCATACCCTCAGCAGCGAGTTTCTTTGCCTTCTCTCCGTTCACGTTCCTGGTCACGGCACGGATGTGCCAATCTCCAGTCTTAATCAATCCACGGGCGATTGCGGAACCCTGATTGCCGGTCGCACCAGCAATTACAATGAGCTTCTTGGCCATGGCCGAGTTGGTAACGTAAAATCTCCTGAATGGTGATGGTGTCGTAAGGAATATAGTAAGGAACTCAATTTTCTGAACAAAAATCCCACGCCCTAAAGAGAAATTTAAGATGAAGAGGAAACTATGTACTTTTGTATAAGAATAAACCACTCTTAGATATGTGAGTAACACCTCAAATAGAGAAATCAAATTGTAGCATGGTACTCGGTTCTCGGTTTCTACATTTGCCGGCTGGGGGACCATGTCAGACGGTCAATTGAAGACGTCCGGCAATTGCATCCTCGGTGAATAAATGAAGGTGTAACGTCAGAGACCATAACTACTCTTGGGAGCGGGCACGGGAGGGTCTTTGAAAATGATCCGTCGAGTGAGTCTGGGCCGGTTTTCCATAAATGCACCGAGCTAACGTATCGAATCATAGTGGGGTCATTGTGCATCAGCTATAGCAAGTGTGAGTTAATATGTGATACCCGACACGCTAAACCATCTTTATCCTAGCACAATCATGGACCATGGGTCATAGATCATGGAGTCGCCTAAATAGTTTCGTGATGAAACTTGCTAGCTCGTAAGGTCCCCTACATATGCACCGCGTACCATAGTAAGCTCTGGAAAATACACCGACTAGTTGGTATTCGAATGGTGGCTAGAGGCGGGAGGTTTGGGGGTTGATATTACAGTCGCAAAGTCTGCACACATGGAGACTATAATCTTATCCTTCTTGCTACCGTTTGCTATCACATAGTAGTAGATACCTCACCAGTCACGATGTTGAAAACCGGGAATATCATGTTTGGCCGCGCTACACCTGCGCTTCGTCCCTCACTATTGTTGCCCATTCGGTCGCCATGCTTGCGCAGAGGGTTTGCTCAAGAAACCAGCTTTCCAAAGCCGTTAAAACTCAAGGGCGTTCTTAACTCCCTAAATCAATTCAGGGTCACGCCTACTGTGGGCACAGAGTTTCCAGAAGCAAACCTTGTTCAGATGATGAATGCGCCCAATTCAGATGACCTGCTTAGAGACCTTGCCATAACAGGTAAGCAGGCAAACATGCTCCCCAAGAAAAAACAGAATTGACGAGTATCCTTTGTAGTATCACGACGTGGAGTTGTCTTCTTCCGTAACCAGAATGACATGAACAATGATCTCCAAAAGAAAATGATCCAGCGCATGGGTGAGCTTGTCGGCAAGCCTCAGGAATCAACTCTGCACATTCATCCCGTGCTCAACCCCCGGCAAGCTATGGGCGGTGATGACCTCGAAATCAGCACTATCAACTCTCGTCAAAGGAAAGCTGTCAATGGCAAGGCCACTCCGCGTGACTTGGGAAATGCAAGGCAGGCGCTCGAGGCATGGCATAGTGACATTCAGTCTGAGCAAGTACCCTCGGATTACACGTGCCTACGACTAACTGAGCTTCCCTCTGCTGGAGGAGGTACGCTAGTCCCTTAGCTACATTTATATCCACCCATACTAACTGACTTAATTCAGACACGCTATGGGCATCCGGCTATGAGGTCTACGACCGCCTCAGCGAGCCCATGCGAAAATTCCTTGAACAGCATACTGCCAACTACACTGCACCATGTAAGTCAGAATGCTTAAGACACCCTTGAACTCATTACATAGCTAAAATATGACACCACAGTCTTTGAGAGAATTATCAAGAACGCGAATATCAAAGTCTATACCGATGCAAGAGGCCATCCTGAGAACACGGGTACTCCCTTGAAAGCAGTGCACCCTGTTGTCCGCACCAACCCCGTTACCGGGTGGAAGAGTGTCTTCGCCATTGGCGCCTATGTACGTGTTTACCTGTCAAATCCAACTTCCCAGTCCGAGTCCCATGCACTTTACTAACTTCACTGTTTCCCCAACAGCCCGGTTCTATTAACGGCCTGACTCCCCCTGAGAGCGAAATGATCCTAGACTGGCTCATGAACATTGTGCTCCGCAATCACGACCTGCAGTGCCGCTTCAGATGGCAGAACCCCAATGACATGGGTATGTTTCTTTCAT